TCTTTCTTTCTTTCTTTCTTTCTTTCTTTCTTTCTTTCTTTCTTTCTAAAGGAGACAAAGCACTCTAAAACGGAATAACATGACCGTATGTTTGATAACAGAGTGCTGACATTGGAGGACTTAAGTCTGAGCATCAAAGAGAAGCTGTTGCCAAAACCTCCAAATGGACTTGAATTATTTGTTTATTTTGAGATAGAAACTCTGCTTATTTATTTCTCCAGGAATGCTTGTTATTGTTGGAGTCTTTTGGAGAAGACATGTGATTGTAAGCTGATAAATATTTAGAGAGACATGACTTCAAAAACTTCAGCTGGGGAGCGTTAGAAAGTGATCAGGCTAGGATTGTCCTGAAAGATTCTCTTAATTTTTCCTACCACACAGTTTCATGCTTACTTTTGTCACAGATCCTAGGGTTCCAAAATTAAGATATGTCACACGCACACCACACACACACAAGCTATTTAAAATAGCTGTGTGATATGATTCAAAGAATAAAGTGAGAGACATATTGCTCAGCTCAGTGGGGAGTCATGTTGACTTCTGAATTAGAAAATGCCAACCAAGAGTATTAAAAGAGATGACAAGGGCTCAAATTGTCCGTTTTGTGCATTTATTTCCTTATGCATGAACTGGGAGGAGTGGCTTTGAAACACGGAAGCCTTTGAATTTTTCTAAACACATCAAGTGTGGGAGCTGCCTGGTTTATATATGCTTTTTTCTTAGGACAAGGTCTGCAGAGAGGAGTGAGCCTTGGGTATGGCTGAGTAGAAGGTAGAACAGCACAAGCTTGCTTTCACAAACTTTTAAAAGAAAGAACATGCTTTACAATTTAGGATTTTTTTTTTGTTTTTGGATTTTTTTTATGTTTTATTCCTCTCTTTTTTTTTTGTTTTGCTTTTTTTGTGCAAAAGTCTAGTGAGTTCAGAAGCTCCAGGCCCTTATAGATGTCAATTTGTGTACATACCACCCATTTCAATCTTCCTGCCTCACCCAGTTTTTCTTGTTTGGAAGAAATTTTTGTCAAATCTGTACACCCAGTGTTTCATAAAGATTGGTTTCGTTGACACTGTTTATATTGTTACAGTTTAATCATGATGAAGAGTTTAGTTTGCATGATCCCACTGGGAATAGATTTTGTAGTTGGGATGCCCTATCATTCTTTACTTAATTTGTTTTTTATGAACTTTACTGAGCCTTTGTGTGTGTGTGGGTGTGTGTCCCAAGAAAAATAAATTTTAAGTATTTTTCCTCTGTTTTAAGTTTAATAATACTTATTAAGGAAGCATGCAAACGAAAGGACTAGAAAAATGAGTTATTCCTTAAAGTCTCAAGTACAAGGGACAAGTACGGGACCAAAAATCCCTTAACACAGATGTTTCCAGATGGGAACTTCTTCACTGCAAAGATTGCATAAGAACGTCTGAGGGAGAATGGTGGGCCTAAGGATTTAAGAGCCTAAGAATGCATTTGTTTGATGTTCATATACTTCTCTAGTTAGTAATAAGCAACACAACTCAGTGAATTTTGATTTTTTTTTTATCTTCAACATAAGTCTGGTCTACTCAGTAAGCATCATACCATTTGATGTGCTGGTTACAGCATTTTCACACTTGGGAGGACACCAGTTATGTATGCAATTAAACCTCCATGGGAGCTTTCTCTACGCCTGTGCATGTTCCTTTACTGTGTCCCACTGAAGAATTGTACTGGATTTGCACTCCCTAGAGATTGAAACAATGACTGTTAGTTCCTGGTTGCAAAGAACGAAAGGCAGGGGTTTGGAGTATTTTCAAATTACCTTTCCTTACCAGTATCTCAATTTATGTATTATTTTCCCAACTGCTTCTTTCTTTATCTTTATTATTATCTAAAGCCGGTTGATGGTTGGGGCTAAGGGAGCAAAGAACAATAAACAATAACAAAAATAAAACAAATATCAGCTATAGCTGAACAGCTGCATAATCTTAACTTCAAGAATATTCTTAGGTATATATGTGTATAATTGAGAAATAATAAAAACAAAACAAAATTATTTGAAAAAAATTCAAGCCAAACAATTCAATGATACATCTAGGACTATTCTCTAGTTTAGTTCCTTTATGATGAAGTACATAAAATGAAGTTTGGAGTTTATGAACTATCTCGCAAGGAGATACAAAAGCCCCCATCACATCCCTATCTTCGTTACCCCCTTGGGAGTTGTAAGCAAAAGCCACATGTTCCCCAATACTGCTACAGAGCTTTTGCATGAAGAGCTCCTATTAAAGTTACAGGACCCTTTGTCAAACTTAGTCACCTCCACCTACCTCTGCCTTCTGACCATTGATATGGGGTGATGAGGAACCCCTTTCCTGAGGGGTGTAAGCCATCCCAACATTCAGGTGTTACGAAGCACATGAGGCAGAAGCTGGCTCCTGGGGAGTGGCTAGCATTAGCAATCACATCCTGTGCATTTCTTTGGTCCATTGCCCTGGTCCGTTGCCCAGGTCTGTTTTAAGAGTACCAGTCCCCTCCTTTGTCTCTCCCACTTTTTCTGTTAGTCTGTCTTACATTATTGTTCCACCCGAGCATCAGTATAAGCCTCCCTGGTGTACCCAGGCTTTTGAGGGGGTCTAAGATTTTTCTCTCATAGGATTTGTTAATTCCAAATTTTCTTTCTCATGTTACACACCTTCCTTTAAAAACAGATGATAGGAAATTCAAGAAGACAAACATCTTCACATATAGTTCAAACTTTATTAATAATTAGCATAGTTATTGAACTTAACTCCTTAACTTACAGTTCTTTAATGCTCAAAAGACATTTTCACCTGCTACTGATAGTTCATACACACACTAAATAATAGCAATGAAAGCGAATGATAAGAATTTTATTTATTTGTTCATAGAAGCCCTAATGGAAACTATAATTTTTTTTACATAGATAAAGAAACCAAATGGTTGAGGAATATAACCTTATACAGCTTGTAAACAGGAAGTCTAGATCTTGAATGCTGACTAGTCAAGCCCTCATGCTACAATGGTCACTACCATGACTTAGGGACATAGAAATATCACAGTGTGCAATTTTTTGCTTTGACTTTTATCTACCCATTCCTAAGTACTGGAGGGTGTTAACTGTGAAATTTGTTGGATGCTTCTTTCAGAACATAGGAAACTATTGAGTACCAGTTTTGAGACAAAGGAAGCAATAGGGAAGGCAGACGAAAACAATTCTGTTCACTGGAATGAAAAGCAAGGCTTGGGTTGGGAGAAATTGTGAGGAAGAAGTTGAGACATGGGCGCACACTTTATATGTGAACTATATTACTTCAAGCACTATGGATTAAATCTTGGCTATAACAGGTGATTTCATTCTTAGGTGTCTGGTTTCATTAACCTCTATCTCTCATCAGTGTATATGTATGTGTATTTGTGTGTGTACGTGTGTACAAAAAAGTATGGACAATTGAATTTTCTGTGCTAGGCACAATTTGAATATTGAGATTTTTAGTAACCCCTACCTTTTATCTCTTTTAAATTTTTTAAAATTAATTTTTATTGAGCTCTTCATTTTTCTCTCCTTTAAAAGTCTTACAATTTACAGAAGCAGGCTACTTGGGATTTCAAATAACTCCTCCCTGCTTTCCTTAACTTCTCCCATTTTCTCATCTATTCTCCAATGCTTCCCTTTCCTTTGTTTAATCAGTTTGTTGTATGATTGCTCCATATCAGATAATATAATGTTAATATGACTATTGTCTCAAGAAATTATATTCTTAATGGATTTATTGGGCAGCAAACAATAAAGACAGAATACATTAAATAGAAAATTGTAAAATGTTCTTAAAGCAAGAAAGTGGAAAGCTGAGAAGATATGTCAAAGTGATAAAATGGAATAGAAAAGTACATGAACTCTGAGAATGCCTGCTTGAACCACACTGGCTGATGGAGCCTGGTGGAAATCTTGAAGATACTTAAAGGAGGGCAGAATTACCTTTATGGTACAGCTGACTGCGCTATGGTTGCCTTCATTTGCATAAATCTTTTCTAACTTCTGACTAAAACTATATTTTATTTTCTCAGGGTTTGGAAGCAGTTGAACAAGTAGCTGAATTTCTATGATGTATGGTTGTTTAATAAGACAGACCTGAATTCAATGTCCAAAGTTTGTACTTATTTCATAACCTAACTTGGTCAAGCTGCTAATCTACATGGACTTAAGTTTTTCTATCTATCTATGAATGAGCATTTCCTAAAGATGCTAGTTGGGAAGTGGCTATGAGAATTAAGTAAGTACTTTATGGAAAGTGGACAGTGTCTAAAATTATTATTTGGTATGCATAAGTCTAATTTGGTACTTAGAAATCTATCACTTATTATTGGTACCTTCCTAAACTATGCTTTCAAAGATTAACACTAGAGTCCTGAAATAGTTCAACTTTCAATGCTAGTAAAATCTGTAATTTATTACTTAAAACAGTATTTATCTCATTTGAGATTAATAAGTAACTAGTTTACAGAAACTAGATAATATTACTATGGTCCTATTTTCAAACTTTGGAAGCTGAGCTCACAGAACATGCAAAGGTTACACAGCTCTTAAAATACAAAACCAGCCAGGCAGTCATGGTGCTTGATTTTAATCTCAGAATTTAGGAGGCAGAGGCAGGCAGAACTCTATGGACTTGAGGTCAATCTGGTCTACAGCTGCACAGAGAAACCCTGTTCTGAAAAAACAAAAAGAAAAAAAAAAGAAAGAAAGAAAGGAAGGAAGGAAGGAAGGAAGAAAGAAAGAAAGAAAACCAGAATATAAAGTTGACAGATTATACCATTTTAGACGATGTGTTTCTATATGCCATTCTTTTCTCCTTGATTACTAAAGACAGTGATATTACAATCTCATTCAAGGAAATCTCAACACAAATCCTAAAGTAAATAGCACAAAACCTTTGAAAGTTATTGTTCCCATTTCTTAAAGTCTGTATATTCACATGGCTTTTCAAGCATAGAGCATACCTATTGAATTTTTCACCTTCCCCTTTCCAGAATGACAAGGCTATGTAAGAACATTCAGAAAATGTGGTGGACCCATCTGAAGAGCAATCCAACTTGGGTTAATGACTTTGCTCTATATTGGTGTTTTCTTTAGAGCGAAGAGGGCCTAATACTGCTAAAGAGAAAAGATAGAAAGAAGCTTTAGTGCTTCTACAGATAAATTCTGATCCAGAACATATAAGATGCATATAATATATATTATTCTCACCCATTGGACTTAGAGATGATGTAGCTCAAAGTAAATGCAGCATCATCTTTCCTTTCTCCTTGACTTAAAGGGCTTTAAAGCAAGGGCAAATGACCATGCAGTTCCATAACTGGTAAGGGAATAATATAAAACAGAAATAACAGGAAGTCTGCATTTCTCCCCATATCTCTCACTTTGTTTCCACTGCCCCATGACTGTAGATAGTTTCCTATCCTATGGTATTTCTTCTCTTATTTCCTTTACCCTCTTAGTTTTGAATCACAAGATTTTGCTTTGTTGACTCAGGACTTAGGTTAAAACTAGTTGTGAGTAATCTAGTCTTGGTTTCTTTCTTTCTTTCTTTTTTTTATATCTTTAAGATCTACGTGACATGTTCCATTTCTCATACTGTTACCTCTGCCCTGACTTTCATCTTATTTTAAGGATTCCCAATAGTCTTGGTATATTTTCAGGTTTCTAATGATGAGAAAATATACACATTATTATATATATCATTCCCAACATGTTGTCACCATCAGCCATCACTCTCCATGCTCTGTCCCTGCCATTCAGAGTTGGTAACATGCACAGCTGATCTGGCGTTAGGACTGACTTTTTTTCAGCGTTTCTCTCCCTTAGAAAATCTTAAAATGCTTTGTATATTGAAAATGTGATTCTTACACACTCTTAGCAGCTAAGAAAACATTGACATCCATTATAAGAACTTTGAGCTGATAGCCCAGTTACACTGTGCAGAGATAATTTGAATTTGGGATACTTTATTGAAAGGAATTGAAACCAATAGGTCATCAAATCTCATATCACAGATAAAAAGAGAAGATATTAATAAAACTCATTTTGTTCTAAATCAGAAATGTTTTGAAGACATTTTATATTTGGTAAAAGGAGAAAATTTTATAAGGTAAGAAGAAAAACCAGATTGTATAAATTTCTTATTTAGAATTGTTTATCACCAAATACATGAAGACTTAATAACTTTGACTCTGAATAGGAATCTTTGTTTTTCTAACAATTGTAAGTTGGTAGAGTAAACTACACCCAATAAACAGGAGGGTAGTATGTATATCATTTTTAATTTGAAATATAAAAAGTGCAAAAAGCAGAAGTCAAATTTAAATTACCTAAAAAGCTATTATTGGTTGTTTCATCAGATTGAAAAATACTAAAATAAAAAACCTGAAATTCCTAGATTAGAAATGATATCTTAAAAATTGCAGTGATTTCTGTGAAGTTCGGATTAATATCTATGTCTAATACATACAAAATATTCTAAAGCACTGTGAGTGCAATCATAATTATAATACAGTTAATGACTAAATGTGACAAAATATTTTATTTTAATAGTATCAGCCCTGTCCCCCAAACTTGTCAACAGCAAACAGCAAACGGAAAGCATAGTTCTCTTCATGATAGGGCATTCAGTAAGCTCAAATGAGTTTAATAATTACTGTAATAAACATTCATTGAACTAATTTTCTCCATATTCCCATTTAATATAATTATAGGAAAAGTAGTTATTCAAATATATTTGTTCTTACAAGTAGTTATAAGCCAATAAGAGATGGCATAAGAGAGGTGAACAAAGAGTCTGGGAGGATTAGTGGAAGTGGAGGTTTTAGAGAAGTGAGGAGAAGCACTAATCAGAATATCTTTAGTACTTGTACAAAATTACAAAGAAAACAACTCAATAACAAAAATTTAGAGTGCTTATTCCGGAACTGGTTATGTAAATAAAACTAAACAAACACTGGGTTTACAGTTTTCTTTGGTATTAAAGGTTAAACCTGAATACTGCTGTGTCACAGTCGCTCACAGGGTTATCCAAAGCCTACCTCTGCAGTCACCTGATGCCTACCAGATAATCCTCAATATATTCTGAAGCTTCTACTGCCTTTAGTATGAAAGAGCAGTGTACAGGTTACCTGCACAATTCTAATATCAAAATGACATGCACATTTTGTCATTGCTCTTTCACCAAAAGAAATCTTGGGCCATAAGTCACATAGGGCAGGGATATTACTGAGAACTCACAAAGCTAAGGACATGGGGACTCAGGCAAGAACTAGCTAGTTTTTACAATAGCATAACAAAATGTGGTCAGGTTAGTATCAAACTTTTCCTCTCTTTCTAAGTGAAATTACAAGTTTCAAAATTATGATACATTTGATCTCTTGGTTTATCTATGAAAATATGAAGTATAACACAATTCCTATAGCAGAAATAAGACAGAATTATTGATGACGAATAAATTTCTTGATAATTTTCAAAGCCAGTTATAATATGTAGGATGATTTATAATCTCATAGACTGTGAGTAGCTAGTTTTAACACAGAGCAGAATACACTAATTTTGTAATAGGAGACGTGTGTTATTTGGAACAAAAGAAAGAACTTTCAGTTGGAGCAACCAGTGAGCAGGTCATGAGGAGATGCTGCTTAAACTAGTTAGAAGTAAAACACAAAGATGCTAAGGCTGCAGCAGAAAAGAAAATTGGAGCAGAGGAGGACCTGGTAAATGAAGCATAGAGTGTGGGGAACTCATGGGCTGAGCTCAGGGACTGTAGGACCAAAGGTCAAGATGAAAAAAAAAAAAAACACTTGTTTTTTTTTTTAACTTAGAATGCACAAATGTTTGTGTTTATGCTTATTACATGTTAACTGAAACAAATGATGGCATTTTGAGACAGGGAGAGCCATGCAATATGGAGACATATCATACCTCAACTCTAGTTTTAAAAAGCCTCAAACTTAATACATATTTATATTTAAGTACCTAAATCTGCTTTCTCTGTATCTCCTCAGATCTTCATCAACAATGAATGGCATGACTCAGTGAGTGGCAAGAAATTTCCTGTTATTAACCCTGCAACGGAGGAGATCATCTGCAATGTGGAAGAAGGGGACAAGGTAAGTTTTCCAACACCCACAAGTCCAATGTATACCAAGATTCTTTGCTTCTCACCATCATGAGCTCAAAACCCAGTGTAAGCTCAATGAAAGACACGAAAACATGGCTGCTCTGTAAGTTGGGTAAATATTCTATTGTCCTTGACATAAGACACCATCAAAGGATGCCTTGGGTGAGGTGCTAATTTTTTTTCCAAACTATTTTTCCTTGAATTCTTTTCACTTGGAATAGTATCATGGTTTATTATACAGACAGACTCATAGAAAAACGTTTATCAGGATAAAGGAGAGAGAAGTCTTTTATAAGTTTACAGTTGTTCTTTCACATCTGCTAAGCAAAGCAAAAGGCTGATATAGAACTCTTAGAACAATTTATTACCAAGTTATTTTATTGAAAATCATTGATTTGGGAACAAGGAGATCAGGGATCTTCATGCTATACTGAATATTGGCAAAATCGTGTTTCCACTGCACTACGGTATATATGGATTTCTTTTTCCTGCAGTCCCAACAGTACTGTACACATTTTGATTTTTGTTTAGAATGCTCAGGAGCAGAGTAAGAGACTATCAGTCAATTACCATTTTGTTTGGAGTTTGTTCAATAGCTAGCAAAGGAAGGAAGTTTCATATTCTTGCCGGCCATTTACACATCTTAAGCAATGCTTTTTGAGATAATTTCTATTTAAATTAGATTATTTTGAATATTTTTCATTATATTAGTTCCATATAAAATCTGGAAACAAAACATCTGTCAGATGAATAGTCTAATGTTTCCCCCTGTAAGACTGCCTGTACACCCATTTGTTCCATAAAATAATAATTTGACACTACACTGATTTATTTTTTTATTTGTTTTAATGATTGCGCTTTGGGAACTTCTCCAGTCACTGTCTAATTCAATATCTTGAAATGAGTTTTGCCGATTTTCCTTCAGTAATAGCATAGGTTTGTACTTTCCTTTAGGTCATTGCTCCATTTGAGTTAATTTAAAAAAGAGAAGGATCCTTCACACTAACTTTTCTTTGTGTGGTGGTTCGTTTCTCCGTAAGAATGAGGCTGGCTCTTCTCCAGTGTATGTTTTGATGCATTTGTTGAAATGGTTGCCGGTGTACAACGGGAAATATGGATCTGAAGTAGTATAAAAGTAGGATGATTGGGACAATTGACTTGACCGGAGCATCTCGATGAATTGCTAGGAAACCAAACTTAGGCAGAGAGATAATTACCATCCAAAGCTATGTGCCACAGGTGACCCAAAATCCTCTGAATTAATCTCAGAAGAACGTAAAAATGTGCTTACTACATTTCCTTTTTTTTTTTTAGAAAAAGGAGGAATAAATGTTTTATACTTAAGACTGAGATACAACACACAGAATGGCTTTACCTCAAATGCCAACCTCATTCACTGAGTATCTCCAACAAGACTAGGAAGGAACAAACAGAAAAACAATTCACACATGCAGTAAGACATAGATATACACAAACTAGGAGACCATCCACTGCCTATGCCTTCTCCATATAGGTAAAAATGTGACTCAAGAATATAAACCATTAGATGACTGTGAAAAGAAACATTGTTGCTGCTTTAACAATGAAGCCTTGAACATTTAGCTCCAAGGGAACATCTTGCTCTGACAATGGAGTTAGTCCCAATAGGAAAACAAAACTCTCTGCCTGGGTTCAGTAGAAGCCTTCTCAGGCAGAACTTTACCAGTAGAGTCAGTGAGGTTTACCGTCTTCCTCAGGCACAGAAGAGAGAGCCAGTGACCATCCCAGCACCATTGTCCGTGAGCACTGATCTGCTCTGTGCTTAGTGACAACTGCCCCTCCCGTAGAAAGATCAAGGAGACTAATTCATACCCAAGCAAGTTGCAGGCTAAGTCTCTGTGCCAGTATGGTTGGCTGAACAAATGAGTCATCTAAAGCAATTGTAAGTCATATAAACTATTTGTGATAAACCAGTGCTGGCTTCATGACTACATTCCTGTCTCTGTTTCCTTTAAAAAAAAATTAAACACTGTCTTTTTAGAATTATTTCTGTTCACACAATTTGTGAGGAATCTAATGAGGAGCTACTAGCATAGCTTAGCCACGCTAGCATAACCTGTTTAAAGTTCACAGTCACAAGAAACCTGATAGGGCTGGAGTGGCTCCTTAGGTCAAAGGCTAATGGTCTTAAAGATTCATTCACGAGCAGAATGGGGCTGCCAACTGGCCCTATCCTGCCTAACATGGCATCACAAGTGTGGGGCAGCGGCCAGAGCAAATGCATGTTAAAAAGCAGACTGCCCGTGGGTGGGAAGTGTTTTCTTTTCACTTCAGTGGCTCCTTTAGGAACTGCTCACTAATCCTGGGCAGGAGCTAACAGATAATCAGAGGGATGAAACTAAATGTCTGTTAAAGTAAGTGCTTCAGAGAGGTGTGAAAGGAAACTGCTCTGATTGCTATTTTCTCCATCTCTGACTGAATTTAAGGTGGGGCACATAATCCTGGAGAGATGGAAGCATTGGGACCCTCCCTCACTAGTCTTAGAGGTCCCTGCTTTCTCACGTTCGTTCAAACCACCTGCACACATTCAGCCTGCAGGCTCCAACTTCAAAACTGGAATATCTCACTGTCCCTAAGCCATAGTATTTGGTCATAGAAAATTCCAGTTAATCTCGTGTTGTAATTTAAACAGTATATCTTGCTAGTCCTTGAATAAAAATATACAAAATAATAACTTTTTGACAAAACACATTAAAAATGTGATTAGTATATTGGGTAATACAAAAGTTTTATAACATAATGCAATTGGCTAAACCATAATTATTACATAAATATTTTAAAATAGATTACATAAGGCAAAATACACACCTCTCTATGGCAGTAGCATAGCCTGTCAGATTATAATAAAACTAAAAAATGTTAATATTGGATGTGTATTAAAAGACTAGCAAGAAATCTTGCCGTCTGTAATACAGTGAGCAATGACTATGCTACTCAAAGCAGCTTTGTTAGACTGTCTGTCTGAGATACAAAAAGTAAGTATGGCGGTAAGATATATAGTATCAAATGTCTCTACTTTCTGCTGTGTTTCACACCCATAGTATGCTTACCTACAAAACAAGGTCCATGTTACTTAATTGTAGTAGTAACTTGGGGTATACAGATCCTGTCTGCCTTTGTGCTGGGAGCCTAAAGCCTCTCTTTTTCGTAAATCACTTTGTTAAAATGAATTTACAAAGCAAAACATCACACAGCTAGATTAAGAAAGTCCGTCAAATAAAACTTGCCTGCTCCCACACTGTGCATCTCAATGAACTTCTATACAATGAGAAGGACCACTCTGAAGCCCCTGAACTTCACTTGAGGGTTCACACTTTCACTATCAACTTTATTTTTGTGGCCTTAGCCAATACAACGGACAATGACAGAGTTGAAACTAAGAAAAAGACTTAGATTTTATCCTCTTTCACAAGTCCTGTGTTCGGTGCCCTCATTCACTGCATTACTCTTCCTTTGTCTCCTTTATCAATGTTATTCTATACAGGCACAACAGCCTGCATATAAACATTAAAATTATAGGCTAGGATCTGTACATGAGGAGGAACATTTGATTCTTTGCTGAGCCTGAGTGACCTTGCTCAATATTATACATATTAAGTCCATTTCTTTTCCTGAGAATTTTTTATTTCATTTTTTTTTACAACTGAACAATATTCTATTTCTATGTGAACCACATTTCCCTTTATCTGTTTGTGAACACAAAAGTTTCTTCCATTTCCTTGCTATCATAAATAGAAAAAGTTCATGATAACTATCTATAGTAATAACTTATGGCAATAAAGAACTTAAATTCCATCCAGGAGATCAGTAAGAAGCTCTTAATTACTATATGCCACTGAGATGTGGGCCTGGTGATGATTGCGGTAGGTTAACACATTGAACCAGGACTTTGAACGTAAATGGACATGCTGTTAGTGCATTCTCTATCAGGAGAATTTCAGGAGCCAAGATAAGAAGGGAGGGCTCATACAGAGCAGGTGAAAGGTAAACTGGTAATCTTAGCAGGTAAAGTGGAGCCAGAAAATGCTGAACTTTGAAACTGAACAAAGAACCTTGACCTTAGGATTGTGGATGAAGCAAGCAGGGGTAAACATGAGAGGGAAAGTGGTAATATTAATTACATGAAGGATATGGGCCTTCCTTCATGTAAGGAAGGCTTAGAGAGACAGTGGGGAGGAAAGATGAATGGGAGGCTGGGGACAGTATGCAACGAGAAGAACAGTGTAGAAGAGGACAGAGAAAGGTGAAAGAACTTGCTAGAATGGACTAGGCTATGTAGTCACTTTGATGTTGGTCTCGTTTGGACCACAGCTGTCTCCCTCTAGTGAACATTCAGCATGTCTTTGGCATAGAAGCTGTGAGACAACTGCTCTGAACAAGAGGAATGACTTTACTTTAGCACAGACTGGACCATTCGCGTCCATGAGTCCCATGTTGGTAAATTAAACCGCCCTGAGATAAGAAGGTGTAGCTGCTGACACAGGCAATTTGATGTGATGTGGTGTATCACGGCCAGATGGACACTGAGTTCACAGGCTTCTTTTAGCCCTTGTTCTCTAACTACTATTTACCTTGTTTTATGTATCAGAAATAAACTAGATTTAACCTAAAAGGTCTGTGGGTTAGATGCAAATTCTATGTCAATTTGACACCTATGATTTTTGGTGTGCTTTCTAGGACTTGGGAACTGGTTTTTTCCTGGATACTGAGAGGAGGCTGTATCTATAATAGGATAAGATGCTGTTTGGTTGAATGTTCCTCCAACTTAGTAAATGCTTCCAAGCAAAATCTTTACCTCAGTGTCCTATCATTAGCTGACCTACAGTTAGAATGCTGTAAAGACACACAGATGCTTGCGTCCCTCAAATCTTACATGGTTAAAAGGAAAAATCAGGATTCAAAGCTGGGTGTTTTGTTTCACTAAGAATTCGTAATCCCATCTGGGCGGTGGTGTCACATGCCTTTAATCCCAGCATTCAGGAGGCAGAGATAGGCAGATTTCTGTAAATTCTAGGCCAGCCTGGTCTACAAGAGCAAGTTTGAGAAACCTTGTCTCAAAAGACCAAAAAAATAAAAATAAAAAAAAAGAATTCACAGTCCCTACTCTTTCTGGTCTTGCAGGATTATATAAATGCTGTAAAAGAAGGAGAGTCATGGCTCCAAAAGATATAAACATTAGAACAAATTTTGTTTATGATAGCTCTGTGTAGGAAAGGCAAGATTTGTTTCAAAACCATTTTCTATCCACCCTTAGGAAGAGGGAGAAGACTCACGACAGCTAATATTTGACGAAGGCCAATGATGCAATACACAAGAACTGCATCTCACAGGTCTATCATAGAGATGTGTGTATGTGCTCGCACACGTGTGTACATGTATGCACACGCTCATCTGTGTGTTAAAGTAGCCATAGATCACATGGGAAAACTCAGACTTTTGAGGTTTGCTTTTCCTTTTCTTCTCCAAAAGTGCTTCTGGAATTTCTTAGGTAAAACTTAGGAAAATCTGTTGTGAAATGAAATGAAGTCCAAATATAAGCAATACAGTCTCATAAATGCAGAGGCATTTGCACTATGACATGGTTTATTTCCATCTCAGTTTACACACATGTAGACTTCTTTGCTATCTTACGGAATGCTTTCTGAAGAATACGACCTTCCATGCCTCTCTAAGGTAAAGGCAAAACTGAAGTTCAGCTAAGTGTAAGCAATTAAAAAGTATAGGGTATTCTCCTTCCTGACATTTTAATTCTCAGACAAATTCAATCTCCTACATAAAGATGCAGTCCACTGACCTGTAGGATTTATGGTGTTCCACACAATGCCAGTCTTATAAACAATATTTTGAAAAATAATTATATTTAAAATATTAATATATGAACCAGGCAGTGATGGCACACATCTGTAATCCCAGCACTTGAGAAACAGAGGCAGGTTGATCTCTGTGAGATAGTTCAAGACTAGCCTGGTCTACAGACCGTGCCCTAGGATAGCCAGGGCTACCCAGAAAAAAAAAAAAAACCTGTCTTGAATCACACATCCGTGTATCAGGGCACCCATGTGAAGGTTAAAGGACAGCTTGCCATGAATGGTTTTCTACTGCTGCCATGTGAGCTTTAGAGTGGGAACTAAGGATGTAAGGCATGACAGTAAGGGCTTTTGTTCAACTGAGCCATCTCTCAGGGTTGCCCGTTTTAGTGGTTGTTATTTTATCCTACCTTAATTCCACACGAAGTATTTTATTTAAAATAAAGTTCTCATACATTTAAACATAGTAGCCTCTTTTATCTCAAATAAAAATATGGGACAAATAAATCTTTCATTTTCCTGACATAGAAAATGAAACAAAGAGAAAGACCTCATGGTGAATTGTGGAGTAACCTTAAGGGGCTGAGGGGTTCTAGGGAGCCTGACTGGCTGGGGATGTCTTGTCGGGCATGGAATTTCCTTCCTTTGCTGACGGGGAGAAAAATATTTAACGGCCTAGCTCAAGCTCCGCACTAACAGACACCTTCTGTGCCTCTGGAGAGTCTATAGCCTGTCCAGTCTCACAACGTGCCAACAAAAGAGTAAATAACAACTTTTCTGTTACTGTAAACATGCACACATTACTTTGGTGTGGGAAGATCAAGCTGGTCGGAGAAGGAAGGGTCTGAATGCTAGTTTCTCTTCTCATCCTCCTGACAAACCAGCTGAGAGAAGCAACTTTAAAGAAGAAGGGTCTGTGTGTGCTCCCAGTTTGGAAGGGTACAATCCATCATAATGGTCAAGGAAAAGAAGAAAGCCCAGTGGCAGGAGGGTGATATCAGGGCCCCACTAGACCAGAAAGCAGAAAGAGATCTCAAGATGCCACTGGATTCCAGTTATAAACCATGTGCCATTCATGTCTTGTGTCTCCACTTCTGCTCCTTAGTCCCCATGTCCAAAAGGTCTCACAATCTCTCCAAACAGTGCTAACACCTGGATAGCAACTGGTAAAACATTGAAGTGTATAGTTAACATTCCACATGCAAACCAATGCACCATGTATGCCATAAACTCTCTTTTCCAACTGGATACATTGTAAGTGTATCATAATGTGGTACTTTAGGTCCCATTTGGTAAAGGAGATGGTCTTCTTTATTTCTGAATCAAATGAGCTAATGCATGTAAACAAACTTGAACTTTTTTCAAATAAAGTAGATACTCAATATCCCATCACAATAGGATAAAGTAATAACTATCCAAACATAGTATCTATTCTAGGAGTTTAACTATTTGATAGGCTATTGGAGCTTATCATAAATATTACTCAAGAGAAGCCATTCCTGCAAACTGCAGTGCAGAGAGTGTGGAAGGCTCTGGACTTTGGGCTAATGAAGCTCTAACTTCTGTTTGTGAGGACTGTGTCCTGCTTTATAAGGTTGTTATATTGGTTTTGTTCATCTAGTGATTTGATTTTCCTGAGTAGAACGCTCTGTGTCTTCCAGGCAGATGTTGACAAAGCTGTGAAGGCTGCACGACAGGCTTTTCAGATTGGCTCCCCATGGCGCACCATGGATGCTTCAGAGAGGGGGCGGCTGCTGAACAAGCTGGCTGACTTAATGGAAAGAGATCGTCTGCTGCTGGCTGTGAGTATTAACTGACACCAACAGCAAGATACCTAGGTGTAGTTGGACATTTCTCTTCCTACCAGTTTCCAATTATCTGGTGGCTGCTTCCCAAATAATTGACTTGGGGGCTTAGTATTACTTATAAATGCTCGGCCAGGAGTTCAGGCTTATTACTAACTGGCTCTTACATTTTAAACTAACCTATATTTCTTATATTCTGACACATCACAGTACCTTTATTAACATAAATAATAATGTTATTTATGTTAATAAATATGTCTCCTGCTCCCTCTGCATCTGACTGACGACTCCTGACTTCTGCCCTTCTTCTTCCCATCATCCTTAGTTTGGTTGCTCCTCTAGCTTCCTGCTTGGCTACGGGCCAATGAGCATTTTACTAAACCAATTTGAGTAAAAAAATCTTTACAGTGTACAAGAGGATTATTCCACAGCACATAGGAGAGTTCCCAAGAGGACTCACTGATCGAAGTAGCCAGTTGTTTGGTTAAGAAAGCACACAAACATCCTGCCTTTTCTCTAGTATTGTTGAGAGTTCTTTTCATGGTCAAGTGTTCCTTTAACAATGTCCCAGGTTTCTCCAATTTACTGTTTACTAAAGTATTTTAGAGCAAATTTATGAATCTTTGAAAATTGCCAAAACATTGCTGTAGTGAGGAGCTGCGGGCAGGCCTGCTTTTCATCCTGCCCAGCTCCTGCATGGCTAGCTTAGCCCCAGAAATAATAACACATAAGCTGTATTCATTTAAATACTGCCTGGCCCATTATCTCTAGAGAGTTAGTTACTGGCTAACTCTCACATCTTGATTAACCCATTTCTAATAATCTGTATAGCACCGCAAGGTGTGGCTTACCGGGAAAGATTCAGCATGTCTGACCTGGTGGCTGGCTCCATGGCATCTGCCTCATAGCCCTCTTCCCAGCATTCTGTTCTGTTTACTCCGCCTACCTAATTTTCTGTCCTATCAAGGGGCCAAGGCAGTCTCTTTATTGACCAATGAAAATAACACAGTAGACAGATAACCCTCCTCCATCACATTGCTCTAAAATAAATTTATTTATATCCACGCCAAACTTTCACGTTTCTTTCTCCTGTATGTTGACATATGCCTGTTGACAATGTTGAAACAAAGAGAAGTGATTTTCATTTTCATGAGTATAAAAGAATTAGCAAAATAAGTCCAGGTTTAATTAGCATAGGATACAAATAGGGAATGTCTATTTGTCTTCTGAATCACACATTCTGAAAACAGTGTGGTACCCAGTAAGATAACAGACTATATTTTATTATCTTTATTTTACTGGAAGCATTACCAAGTTTTTTTTAAAGGATCACCCTTTCCTCAAAAATGCTGAATTTTTCAAAATATGAAAACAATTCAATCAATAGCTGCTGCACCAAAACCACACCACTCTCAGAATTCTACAAGAAAGAAGGCAGTTTTTAAATCCACATCACCCTCAGGATTCTATGAGAAAAAAGGTAGTTTCTAAAACCACATCACCTCCAGCATTCTATGAAAAAAAAAAGGCAGTTTCTAAAACCTAGCTTCTCTCATTTGTCAGTGGTGGGGAAAGTTCACTGCCTCTGCCATCTTGTGCGGTTGCACAAGAACAGACCTACCACATCACATGGGTGTAGACTCTGGAGGACCGCACAGCATAAATCAGAGGAAGGAGAGCTTTAGCTATTGGATGATCACCTTGTAAAATATAGAATTCCAAGGAGACCTTTATAGTCTGAATGAAAAGAGAAGGAAGAGAAGATAATATAGTCCCAGAAAATCTAAGACTATGACTATTTAAATAGTTATGACCTTGTTTCCTAAACAGTAGAATTATCACTGATAACTGCTTAGGAAAATCTACAAATCCATGGTGAAAGATACAAGTGTTTTTTATGTTAGGGTGGACATAATACAGAATTCCTATCTGTGAAGAATATGATCAAGGCATCAAAAATCATTTCCAACACCAAATTTTCTCTACAGTTGGCTGGCAAATAAGATCCTGTTAGAACTCTCATTTGACAAGGAGACTGCCAATCATTTTCACAGCTGTTTACCTATGAAACTGTGCCTAGTGGATAGACCTAGCTAAGCTACAAGGAACTGAGACTGTGGCAGAAAGAGCACAAAGTCAGGTGATCCAATCTCATTGTTGCCCCTACCAGGATTTTGTTATGTGATCATATGTTATGTGATCATAAACAAGTTATTGTGCTCTGATTTAAAAGCAGTTTTATTGAGATGATTTGCGATTCCTTATAATTACAAAGCACTCTTACATAATTCATGAAAATGTTGACCATATATTCTTTTAATTTATTTTTTATTCTTATAACAGTCTGTACATTTATAAAGTGGACAATGATCATAGCCATCCACAACTACTTCCTATCAACTCCACCTAGTGCCCCTCATGATACCAAGCACCTACTTTTTACATCTCTCTTTACTCTTATTAGCAAACTTCTGAGTCCAATTATGCTGCTTATTCATACATGACTATATAATTCTTCATTTTTATTTTAAACTGTTTCATGTGTGGGGGTATCTATGTACTATGTGTATCCATGTACTATGTGTGTGATTGATGTGCTTACAGGGAAGAAGGAACCATAATATTACATGTAGCTGGGATTATATAATATTACATGTAACAGATGATTGTAAATTACCTTGTGCATGCTGGGGTTAAACTGACTTTTCTAGAACAGGACTCCACTGAGCCCTCTTCATTGAGAAATGTTCTTGTCGGGGGTATAGAAAGTTTATTAGAAGGTATTGGAAGAGTATGGGGGAAGAGAGAGACAGGGGGAGAGAGAGAGAGAGAGAGAGAGAGAGAGAGAGAGGGAGGAAGAGAGAGAGAGAGAGAGAGAGAGGAAGAAAAAAGAGAAGAAGGGAAGGGGGAGGAGAGGGACAGAGAGCTGCCTCTTCAAAAAATGATGGAAAGATAGAGAGGGCAATGTTCTTAATCTAATGTTCTTTTTGTGATTGTAAACTGTGGTTTGTGTTGGCTTTTCAGACAATGGAGGCACTCAATGGTGGAAAAGTCTTCGCTAATGCATACTTGTCAGATTTAGGAGGCTGCATAAAAGCATTAAAGTACTGTGCAGGCTGGGCTGACAAGATCCATGGTCAAACAATACCAAGTGGTAAGTATACCTAGAAAAATAGCAAGAATGGTGGGAGAGGCAAGGCTAACACCATAGAGATGATAACTTAAAACTCTGAGAAAGATGTCAAACAATAAGGCAATAATTATTTCCCCCTTGACTTTGGGAATTAAAACTATGAAGAGTGTAGGTAGCAGTAAGGTGAGAGCATTCTCATAGAAGCCAAGTGAGGTGTCTAAATGCTCAAACGTTCAAAGCTGGCCACTGAAATCACTTATTTCTGCTTCATTTCCATAACAACGTCGACATTCCACCTTAAATGCAGTTACTTAAGGCCTTTGGTCTAGAAAGAGGCAAGGATGCTTATTTGTGCTCCTTTAAGTTCAATTTATTTAAACCAAGCTAATTCATATCAACATGTTTCAAAACACACAAAACATGATGAGAAAGTATTTACTAGCTGAGTTAAAAGGATTTCATGGGAGAATTTGTATAAATAATTACTAAGGGTGTATATAGCGAAACAGATACATGAAAAGAATTTCCAGAGGAAAAAAAATCAAGTTGACAATACAACAGGGGCTGAACTCCATGTCTATAATCGGAATGACTTCAGGAATTTAAAGTCCACTTCTAGTTCTGACACTAACGCACACTTCCACCAACTGAAGGATTCAGTTTGAGAGGTGGTCACTAGGAAGTAAGAAGACAGAAAGGAGACAACAGAGGGAACAAGAATGGGGACGTTTTGTGGCTCTCACTCCACTCTTTGGGAAGATAGAAGAAGCTGTTGAGAGTAGTGCTAGGACATGACAGGAAAGCACTGTGGCAGTAGGCCCAGAACAAAACACAAAACAGCAAAATTCCCAGGGTAGATATACCAAAGAGTGGTACAGAGTTGACCAAACCCAGATGGAAGAGAGCCATGTTCACTTCAGATAGTTTTCTGTCTGTTTGTTTTGTGGGGTTTTTTGTTTGTTTGTTTTTGGGTTTTTTTTGTTTTTTTGGTTTTTTTGTAAATTGAAAGACATTGTATTTATGTGTTATAGGCAGGAGAAAGACCTGTAATTTCAAGTCAGTAGAAAGACTGCTTACTCTGGGAAGACAGTACTGCTGAGCGATTAGAAATGCAGAAAACATTTGCATGTGGCTCCACCCTTACCCAGAGAGAGGTGACCTCACCTACCAGCTCCTTTCTGCATCACTCCATGAACACGGGTGCTGCAGGGAAGGCAGCCATCTCGGAATACTAGGAGTGGAGTTAACTGCCTGTCAGATCTTTGCCCGCCTAGTCACTTATTTTCCTGTATCCCAGCCTTTCCATTCTAACTGCGGCTTGAGAGCTCCGTTGTTTACATTATTAACCTTGTAGATGGGATACTTTGTTTCCCTTTGTTCCTCACTGTGCAACTCCTCTCACACCAAGGGCACATCACCCTGCCCTGAGTGGATCCCACATTTGCCTTTGCTGGATGGTGTGTTTGCTCTGTTTTTCAGATGGAGATATTTTCACTTATACAAGACGTGAGCCTATTGGAGTGTGTGGCCAAATCATCCCTGTAAGTTCTTCTTAACGACTCCCATGGGGGGAAAGAAAGCTGTGATTCCATTTGATCTGAAGGTCATACCCGCACAAGTGAAGCTTATATGATGGTTTTGTGTGCAGTAAATTCAGTAAGCCTGACTGTCTGAAGCTCATATTCCTGTAGCTGAGCTTCTTGGATATGAGCTATCTGGTCCAGAACCCCCTGAAAATACTGCTGTACCATGTGAGGATTTTTCAGTGTTGCCAAATAAGCCCTAAGTGTTTGCTGCACGGGTTGTTTTGGGAACTGTGCTCTGTTCTGGTTCTCATGAACTGTGCTTTATAAGTGTAAGACAAAGTTTGACATGGCTCATCTGTGTTGGGATATTTCAGTGGGACACAGCAGGGTCCATAGCTCCCAGCACTTCTGTCTGCTCCTTGAGACTTCCTACCATAGACAATAGCAGCAGCAAGATTGCTCAAGTCCTGGAAAATACCTTTTGATTTAAATGGAAGGAAAAATCTCCAAAAAAACTGGAACAGTTTGTGGCCTGTATTGCACCATTAGTTAGCAGGGATTGGTACTTAAATTTATTCAGCCAAAAATATCATGTTCCGGATGTAACCAGATTTCCTCCAAGATTAACAGAGAACACTGGCCAGATACATCTGATACAATTTAAAAGGCAAAATTAAAACACAGTGAAGTTTGTCCAGAAGTTTTCGGAATGACATTGACTCTCCTTTAGTGAGATGAATACATTGATGTATTTCATGGATCTGCCTAGTACTTCAAAGACTTAAAAAACTGTTTAAACATATTTACATCACTCTAACAGCTAGGACTATTGGATAAGTTTAAACATTAACTTCCTCTGTGTTGTTCTTCCATAGCTCTGAATTTCTCAATTAATCCTGAAGACAACATCTAAAGTAGAGAGGACTATTTTCAGGACTCACAAGTGGAAAATGCTTCGAAGAGAGAAGCAGTAGCAGATCTTATTTCTTATAGGTGGCCAATGGTTTACTGAACTGAAAGTGATCTTCCTTTGCCTTCGATGATATTGTTTGTCTTGGGCTGAGCAAAGCTCTGTATTATGGAACATACATTCAATATGTCCATGACTTGGTTACAGTCTCCAGGATCCAAAAAGAAAAAATAAAATCCCCTAGACATTAACTGTGCTTAAAGATCTTATAATTGGGTAAATTCACAAATGCTCTCTAGAAAAATATATGGAGAGAATGTCATATTTTTAAACTAACTACAACATTTGACATACTTAATTCTTAAAAAAATAAAATAATATCATCCTGGTAGAATAAGAATTCAAAATAACAGTACTTGATTAAATTTGGGAGTGTTTCCCCACTCCCTTCTATGTGGCTGGTTCAGAACATTTGTCATTAACAAGTTGCTTTTAGCAGTGAACCTAAATAAGATATGCCTCATAGTTACACAGAATTTACCGGTTTTTATTCAACATCTATCAAAGCAGATTGTTTTAGAAATTGTGTTTTGAGACAATGTAAAATTGCTCAATTTTGCTTTCTAGTGGAATTTCCCATTGCTCATGTTCATTTGGAAGATAGGCCCTGCCCTTGCCTGTGGGAACACAGTGATCGTCAAACCCGCAGAGCAAACCCCTCTCACTGCTCTTCATATGGCATCTTTAATAAAAGAGGTAAGTCTCCAGAGTATAAATGTACAGGCGATTTCAGGGTCCCCTGTTCACTTGCAGCTTGGTTTGCACCTCAGTCAGCTTCGCAGATCACACATGGCTTTTGCCCAGTCATGGAGAAGAAAGCAGCAGAACTACAGGCTGTGACTTTTGTCAGCCAATACAAGTGTGTTTCCACATAAATAATAACAGAGGCTTATAGCCAGTCACCTTGTAATCCATTACTTATATTGCTCCAGTCTCATGAACGTAATTCCTGAGGACATAACGACATTCTTTCCATTGCTGAAATGTGTGTTGCCACTGCTGCACTTATAACCGGCTCTGTTGTTGCTGTGAATTCCTTCTGTTATTTTAGTTTGAATGTAACTGAAAGTTAGAGGCCACATATACCAGTCGGTTTGCTGTAACATTGGGTCTCTTGTCCATCACAGCTTCAGATAAAGTTTCTTTCCTGTTCAAAGTGCACAGAGTACATTAAAAACACTTTAATTAACCAAAATGAGTGATTTCACCCTTTAAAAACAACTTACTGGTTTCTTCCCTAAACACCAAAACCTCAAAATTAGAATTTTGAAATCTGAAACAATATCCTTAAGATATTTTTTACTTCAAATTAAAATGGACAAAATTCATCAAAATAATGCATTTTTGATTCAATTACCTTGAAATTTTAGTATGTTCATCATAGTGCCTCTGTCTCTGTTGCTTTCAGTGGACCAGGAATCACTCTGTACTATTCTGGGAAGAGAGGCTTTGCTTTATTATATCTTCCAGATAAACAATACCTCTAGGTATTTGTAGCTTTGCTGCCCTGCTTCAAATTCAAGAGTGAAAAACTGAAAATATGCCCTCTCTTTAGACTTTTAGCTTTGCTGATGATACTAAATACTTTCTTTCTGAGTACATACTTTATCTTATTTTTCTAGCTCCTTTCTCAAGGAGTTTCCCTATCTGACAGTTGACACAGCTAATCATTGCAGCTACAATCTATTGATGAGATATTTGGCTTTGGAAGAAGGTGTTTCTCAATCATATCACCTTTGAGCACATTTTCATATAGAAAAGGAAAGGAAATTATAATAATAAAGAATAAATACTTAAGTGAAATTTTCTTCATTGAAAAAACTTTATAGGTTAGTTATGTAGTCACCTCTATTGTGAATTAAGTTTTCAATTGTTGACTGCCTGCCTCTTAACTTGCAGGCAGGGTTTCCTCCTGGCGTGGTGAACATTGTTCCTGGTTATGGACCAACTGCAGGGGCAGCCATTTCCTCTCACATGGACATCGACAAGGTGGCCTTCACAGGATCAACACAGGTAGTGCCAGTCTCCGGGTGCCTCATCTCTAATGAGAACAAGCCAGACCTCAACAGCTGTTCCTCAGCCAACACTTCTTCAAACAAAAGCTGTTTCAATGATTTGTTACTTACTCTGTCCTTGAAATATGTTTATCAAGCACAAAGTGGGTGAATTTAGGATAAAAGAAAATCCCTGCTACTAATTCAGAAAGATTGCAATTTTCAAAGTGTTTCTTGTTATCTCTTAGAAATATAGCCTCTGGGCTGTCAGATGATTGGGAAAGTAGATGGTAAAACATATAAATTAGACCACAGTAATTTATATGAGTGAATGTAAACCTCTAGATTAAGAAAGTCAAATAGTAGAGTCTCAACCCAAACATCTTGTTTGGGACTGTCTACCAAGCACACCCTGAGAGGGAGACAAATTCTACTTCCTTCCATGTTTCTTCTGGAGAGCCTTAGTGTTCTGTGCTCCTGGAGTCACCATTCAACTGATACCAAGTTGAAAAACAGGAAACAGCCCAAAAACACTATGACAAGAAGTGACAGGTGGAGGGAGAGAAAAAGGCTTGAATATAAATTCTGGATATTGCATGAGATTTGATTATAAGCAAAAAAATGTAGAAAATATACTATTTCAAGCAAAGTCATGTTTGAGTCACTCTACTTGGCCATCACTTATTAGTTAGTTACTCAGTGGAAAAGATACTGCATGCTTCATTGGCATAGGTGATAAATAAGCAAGAAAAGACTATACCAAGCAATCCACACCTACAAGAAGCAAATAGGATGGAGAAGGCAGAAGATCAAGGAAATGAAAACTCACCTGAAGCCAGATAGGTACAAAACTTGCTGAAGGTGTTGAGGAATGGTTTCTCTCTTAACTACCTGAGGACTGAGAAGCAAGAACAGCTTTCAAAATAAGCAGAAGTTAAATTTGATTTTCTTGTAATCATAGTTAGTTGCTTCAATATTTTGTTAAAATTCTCAGAGAATGGAATTGATAAACATTAAATTATATTTTTATTCTTGTTTTGATCTTCTAAAACACATTTTCATTTTTTCCTTCATGGACTATACAAAAATAGTTCATGGTGCAAAATCTATGACTGAGATTTTTTTTTTAATTGCTCCTTTCTAGATTTTCTGTGGTGTAAAAAGATATGAGGATGTCTAAGACGTGGTGATAACTTCTGTAATGGTGATGCTGTAGGTTAATATTATATCAGGAAAGGAAAAGGCAGGCAGAGAGAATTTTGGAATCTCCACTCCTCTGCAGTCGGGAATCAATGGGCATATCTGGTTCTGAAACCTGTGCTGGCTTCTGGCCATCTGTGCTGAAGGCTTCTGGTCCTGACCCCAGAGTTAGCATGAATGCTCAATTATCATAAGTGATCTGAATTCATGCACCATTTGGAGGCCTCTTTACATGACCCCACCCCCCAGTAAGCATGGAAATTAGGAGATCAGGCAACCTCGGGCCCAAATTCCAATCTAACTCTCTTAATACTATGTCTCTGAAAAGTTAAGTATCTTTGCCAAATTTGAATTTCTTCATTTGAAAAGTTGAGTGTAATATCTATTTTTCTCAGTTTTACATAATAAAAATGAGAGCCTGATGAATAAGACATTTAAAACCCCCCTGAGAACTCAGGAACTATCCTGGTCACTGTTTCCTTTTCCCAGGTTTTGGTTTGCACGTGGGCATCTGCACCTCTCACCTAACCCCCAGTGTTCCCACAGTGCCTTGATGCTCCTCTCTGAAGTTCCAAGAAAATCACGAATTAAACAATGTCTCTGTCTGTGTTCCCACTGTCTGAGATTGATAGTCCAGAGCATGTGTGTCCTTGTGGATTCATCTCTTTTTCTTGTCTGGCTAGTCTCAAAGACTCTGTTGTTCAGGGTTAGCCACACAATGGTGGCCTCTAAATAACAGAATGATAACAACACCATTTTAGAAGCCACAATGAGGGGAAACATAACATTAGTCCAACAAAGCACTCTGTGGAAACTAGTTTATTCATTTTTCTCAAAATTTGTTATCTGATTTATACTAAAGGTCCTGAGCCATTTTTAATTCAGAATCAAATGATAGATTGCTTGCATCTCTCATGGTCACAACAATGAAACGATCTACCAAAAATTTTAATGTAATTTAGACATTAAAAATTTTAAGGAACTCATTATTAAAAGAACTGTAGCCATGCTGTGGAAGACATATTTTTCTTTTTTTTCAAGGTTTATTAAATTATGAAACTTTACATTTCCGCACCTCCTACCTACACCCTCCCACTCCCCCCCTCCCCCTCCTCCTCCTCCTCCCTCTCCATCCCTAAGAGCAGTCAGGGCTTCCAGCCCTGTGGGAAGTTCAAGTTCCTCCCCCCTCCCTCCAGGTTCAGGAAGGTGAGTATCCAAACAGACTGGATCCCAAAAATCCAGTATATGCAGAGGAAGCAAGTCCCAGTGTCATTGTCAATGGCTTTTCAGAAAGGCTCCAGGCCAGCCACATTCAGAGAATCCGGCCACATTCAGAAAATCTGGTTGGATCACATGCTCCTTCAGTCCCAGTTCAACTGGCCTTAGTGAACTCTCATTAGATCAGTCCCGTTGTATCAGTGGGTGATCGCACCCCTCGCGGTCCTGAGTTTTTTTTTTTTTTCATGTTCTTCCTCCTTCTGCTCCTCATTTGGACCATGGGGGGCTCCATCCGGTGCTCCAATTTGGATTTCCATCTGTATCGCCATCCATCGTCAGATGAAGGATCTGGGACTCTTGTCTTTTTACAATCTCCAGGAGGATAAGTACATGATTTTCTTCAGGTTCACCTTCTAATTTAGCTTCTCTACGATCTCGAATAATAGGCTCAAAGACCTTTAATTATGGCTAGAATCCACTTATGAGTGAATACATACCATATTCCTCTTTTTGGGTCTGGCTTACCTCACTCAGTAAAGCGTTTTCTATGTCCATCCATTTGCATGCAAAATTCAAGATGTCATTGTTTTTTACCGTTGAGTAAAACTCTAGTGCATATATGTTCCACACCTTCTTTAACCATTCTTCTATTGAGGGGCATCTAGGTTGTTTCCAGGTTCTGGCTATTACAAATAGTGCTGCTATGAACATAGTTGAACAAATGCTTTTGTGGTATGATAGGGCATCTCTTGGGTATATTCCCAAGAGTGGAATTGCTGGGTCTTGAGGGAGATTGACTCCCAGTTTCCTGAGAAACCGCCACACTGATTTCCACAGTGGCTGCACAAGTTTGCATTCCCACCAACAATGGATGAGAGTTCCCCTCTCTCCACATCCTCTCCAGCATAGGCTATCATTGGTGTTTCTGACTTTAGCTAATCTGACCGGTGTAAAATGGTATCTCATAGTTGTTTTGATTTGCATTTCCCTGATCGCTAAGGATGTTGAGTATGACCTTAAGTGTCTTTTGGCCATTCAGAGTTCTTCTGTTGAGAATTCTCTGTTCAGATCAGCACCCCACTTTTTAATTGGGTTAATTAGAGTTTTAGTGTCTAGTTTCTTGAGTTCTTTATATATTTTGGAGATCAGTCCTTTATCTGATGAGGGGTTGATGAAGATCTTCTCCCAGTCAGAAGGTAGCCTTTTTGTCTTACTGACCGTGTCCTTTGCTTTACAGAAGCTTCTCAGTTTCAGGAGGTCCCATTTATTCATTGATTCTCTTATTGTCTGTGCTACTGAGGTTCTACTTAGGAAGTGGCCTCCTGTGCCTATATCTTGTAGACTATTTCCCACTTTCTCTTCTATCTGGTTCAAAGTGGTCCAATTAATGTTGAGGTCTTTAACCCATTTGGACTTGATTTTTGTGCATGGTGATAGATACGAATCTACTTTCATTCTTCTACAGGTTGACATCCAGTTATGCCAGCACCATTTGTTAAAGATGCTTTCCTTCTTCCATTGCATACCTTTAGCCCCCTTGTCGAAAATCAAGTGTTCATAGGTTTGTGGGTTAATATCTGGGTCTTCTATTCGATTCCATTGGTCGACTTCTCTGTTCTTATGCCAGTACCAAGCTGTTTTCAATACTGTAGCAGTGTAATAGAGTTTGAAGTCAGGGATGGTTATACCTCTAGAAGTTCCTTTATTATATAAGATTGTTTAGGCTATCCTGGGTTTTTTGTTTTTCCATATAAACTTGATTATTGTTCTCTCAAGGTCTGTGAAGAAGTTTGATGGGATTTTGATGGGGATTGCATTGATTCTATAGATTGCTTTTGGTAAAATTGCCATTTTTACTATGTTGATCCTCCCAATCCAAGAACAAGGGAGATCTTTCCATTTTCTGGTATCCTCCTCTATTTCATTCTTCAAAGACTTAAAGTTCTTGTCAAATAGGTCTTTCACTTCCTTGGTCAGAGTTATTCCAAGATATCTTATGCTATTTGTGGCTATCGTGAAAGGTGAAGTTTCTCTGATTTCCCTCTCTGCTTCTTTATCCTTTGTGTATAGGAGGGCCACTGATTTTTTGGAGTTGATCTTGTATCCTGCCACATTACTAAAGGTGTTTATCAGGTGTAGGAGTTCTTTGGTAGAGTTTTTGGGGTCGCTCATGTGTACTATCATATCGTCTGCAAATAACGAGAGTTTAACTTCTTCTTTTCCAATTTGAATCCCCTTGTTCCCCTTATGTTGTCGTATTGCTATTGCTAGAGCTTCTAGCACTATATTGAAGAGGTATGGGAAGAGTGGACAGCCTTGTCTTGTTCCTGATTTCAATGGAATGGCTTTGAGTTTCTCTGCGTTCAGTTTGATGTTAGCTGTTGGCTTGCTGTAAATAGCTTTTATTATATTTAGGTATGATCCTTGTATCCCCAATCTCTTCAACACCTTTATCATAAAGGGATGTTGGATTTTGTCAAATGCTTTTTCAGCATCTAATGAAATGATCATATGGTTTTTCTCTTTCAGTTTATTTATATGATGGATTACATTGATAGATTTGCGTATGTTGAACCAGCCCTGCATCTCTGGGATGAAGCCCACTTGATCATAGTGGAAAGTTTTTCTAATGTATTCTTGGATTCGGTTTGCCAGTATTTTATTGAGTATTTTAGCGTCAATGTTCATGAGTGAGATTGGTCTGTAATTCTCTTTCTTGGTTGTGTCTTTGTGTGGTTTTGGTATCAGGGAAACTGTAGCTTCATAAAAAGAGTTTGGCAATGACTCTTCTTTTTCTATATTGTGAAATAACTTAAGGAGTATAGGTATCAGCTCTTCTTGGAAGTTCTGGTAGAATTCTGCATTGAAACCATCTGGCCCTGGGCTTTTTTTGGTCGGGAGGTTTTTGAAAACAGTTTCTAATTCTTCGCGACTAACAGGTCTATTTAGATTCACCTGGTCTTGATTTAACTTTGGTAAATGGTATTTATTTAAAAACCAGTCCATTTCTTGTACATTTTCCAACTTTGTGGCATATAAATTTTCATAGTAAGATCTAATGATTCTCTGAATTTCCTCTGTGTCTGTTGTTATGTCCCCCTTTTCATTTCTGATCTTATTAATTTGAGTGTTCTCTCTCTGCCTTTTGATTAGTTTGGCTAGGGGTTTGTCAATCTTGTTGATTTTCTCCAAGAACCAACTTTTTGTTTCATTGATTTTTTGGATTGTTTTCTGTGTTTCTCTTTTGTTGATTTCAGCCCTCAGTTTGATTATTTCCAGTCTTCTACTCCTCCTGGGAGAGTCTGCTTCTCTTTTTTCCAGAGTTTTCAGGTGTGCTGTTAAGACTTCAATATGTGCTTTCTCCGTTTTCTTTAAATGGGCACTTAGTGCTATGAACTTTCCTCTTAGCACTGCTTTCATTGTGTTCCATAGGTTTGAGTATGTTGTGTCTTTATTTTCATTAAATTCAAGGAAGACTTTAATTTCTTTCTTTATTTCTTCCTTGACCCAGGGATGATTCAGTAGTTGACTGTTCAACTTTCACGCGTTTGTAGGCTTTCTGGTGTTCGAATTGTTATTGAATTCTAACTTTATACCATGGTGATCCGACAAGACACAGGTGGTTACTAAAATTTTTTTGTATCTGTAGAAGTTTGCTTTGTTACCGAGTATGTGGTCAATTTTCGAGAAGGTTCCTTGAGATGCAGAGAAGAAGGTATATTCTTTCCTATTTGGGTGGAATGTTCTATAGATATCTGTTAAGTCCGTTTGATTCATTACCTCTTGTAATTCTCTTATTTCTCTGTTGAGTTTCTGTTTGATTGACCTGTCCTTTGGTGAGAGAGGTGTGTTGAAGTCTCCTACTATTAGTGTGTGTGGTTTGATGACTGCCTTGACTTCTAAAAGATTTTCTTTTACATAAGTCGGTGCTTTTATATTAGGGGCATAGATATTCAGGATTGAGACCTCCTCCTGATGAATTGTTCCTGTTATGAGTATGAAATGTCCATCTCCATTTCTTCTGATTGATTTTAGTTTGAAGTCAATTTTGTTAGATATTAGAATGGCCACATCAGCTTGTTTCTTAGGTCCGTTTGCTTGGAAAACCTTTTCCCAGCCCTTTACTCTGAGTAGATGTCTATCTTTGTGTTTGAGGTGTGTTTCTTATAAACAGCAGAATGTTGGATCCTGTTTTCGTATCCAATCTCCTAGTCTATGCCTTTTTATAGGTGAGTTGAGTCCATTAATATTAAGCAATATTAATGACCAGTGGTTGTTGATTCCAGTTATTACTTTTGTGTGTGTGTGTGTGTAGTAGTAGTAGTAGTAGTAGAGTTTGTGTGTTTCTCTTCTTTGAGTTGTGTTTGTGAAGGGTCGCTAGATGTCTGGGTTATTGTAGGTAGTGATGGCAATGTTGGATTCCTTGGGTTTGCGATTTTCCTTCTATTACTTTCTGTAAGGCTGAATTTGTGGCTACGAATTGTTTAAATTTATTTTTATCCTGGAATATTTTGTTTTCTCCGTTGATAGTGAACGATAGCTTGGCTGGGTATAGTAGTCTGGGCTTGCATCCATGGTCTCTTAGTTTCTGCAGTGCCTCTATCCAGGATCTTCTGGCTTTCATGGTTTCCATAGAGAAGTCCGGTGTAAGCCTGATAGGTTTACCTTTATAAGTTACTTGACCTTTTTCCTTTGCAGCTCTTAATATTCTTTCTTTAATCTGTATGTTTTGTGTTTTGATTATTATATGGCGAGGGGATGTTTTTTTTCTGATCCAGTCTATTTGGTGTTCTGTATGCTTCTTGCACCTTCATAGGAATATCGTTCTTTAGATTGGGAAAGTTTTCTTCTATAATTTTGTTGAATATATTTTCTAGGCCTTTGATCTGCCGTTCTTCTCCTTCTTCAATCCCTATTATTCTTAGATTTGGTTTTTTTATTGTGTCCCACAATTCCTGAATGTTTTGTGATGAGTATTTGTTGGATTTGCTGTTTTCTTTGATCAGAGCATTTAATTTCTCTATGGTGTCCTCTGAGTCTGAGATTCTCTCTTCTATCTCTTGTATTCTGTTGGTTATGCTTGTTTCTGAAGTCTCTGTTCATTTACCTAGATTTTCCATAGCCAGCCGGCCCTCGGTTTGTGATTTCTTCATTGACTCCATTTCAGTTTTCAAATCTTGAACTGTTTCCGTTACCTGTTTGATTGTTTTTTCTTGGTTTCCTAGAATTTCATTTACGGATTTACTCATTTCTTCAAACTTTTTGGTATATTTCTCTTCCATTTCTTTACTCATTTCCTCAATCTTTTTGTTATACTCATCTTCCATTTCTTTATGGTAGGTTTTCACCTCCTGTTTAAGTTCCTCTTTTATTTTCATGTAGATCTGCTTAGAGTCGATTTCTTCTATTTCTTCTGGAGTAGGGTGTTCAATTCTTCTCATTTTGTGCTCCCTAGATTCTGGAGATGTCATGTTGCCTTTCAGGTTGTTGGAGGAATTCTTGCATTGGTGCCTGCCCATCTCCACCTCTCTGGATGAAACTCCTCCACACTCTCTGGATAGGGCTCCTCAGCACTGCAGCTGGGATAGCTGGCCTTCCCAGGGCCCAGGAGACAAGAGTGCAGGGCAGTGGGGGCAGGGAGGGGTCCGGTGAAACATGGAAGACCAAGACATATTTTTCTAAACACAGCTCACCTCTACTTCACACATGATACCACAAGAGGATGCGCAGTTTGGGTTTTCGCCATTCTCATTGTCCTCTTTGGGAAAATAAAATTTTATTGTTTTAAAGTAAGGGGATAAAATAATGGGATAAAAATTACTTGCTCTTTTCCTGAGAAAATTCAAGCAAGTTTCAAATTGTCCACCTGAAACGGCAGCATATGTAAAATCTTTATTCCACCCTTATATTTCTAACCAGCTTTCTTACTCATTCTTTGGCATGTGTAGCTTTAGAAATACTCCATTAACCAAGACAAACGTTAGCTGTTTTAGGAGAACTTTTCTACTAAACTGATTAGGTAACTCCAGAAAGGTAAAATTTGTTATCTAGAAAACAGCAACTTCTTAAATGAAAATAGTCACAGAGACTGTGCTGCAAAGACTCTGCGTGGTAGCACACACCACTACCCACACCTGGGAAGGGAAGTAGGAAGATCACAAGTTTGAAATAAGACTAAGATATGCAGGGATACACAGTCAGGAATTAAAAGGACAAAAAAGGAAGGAAGGCAGAAGCATGAAAGAGAAGGAGAAGTAGGGAAGGCAAATTTCAGGTAGGGCTTCTCCAGAACATGACTAACTTTTGTTTATTTTTGTTCATCTAATTTCAGGAATTAAATTTAAGCTTATAAAATTAGTAATAATATGAAAATCTTAGTAGAATGAATATCTTTTCTGTAATGCAGTATCCACATAGAAATGGTCTCAACACTCTGATACAACAGAAATAGTTATTCAATATGTGGAATAGCACAAGAAACACAGAGGATTGAAGAAACAAAATATAATGAGTACCTCTAGAAGGCAGGGCAAAGATTTTTTTCATTAGCATGTGATTGTGTTGTACATAATGAAGTCCAAGTCATTATAAAAGCTGGAGTTAGGGATGGAAAAGAAAAACTTTTGTGTAGAAAATAGTTTTCAATCAAACAGATCTAAAAAATAAAATAAAATAAAATAAAATTAAAGTCATCTTTTAGATGAGGGAACTAGAATTAAGAAAGAAAGTAGAATGGGAGGATTACAGATAAGGGCAGGAGGAACGCAGAGCTCAGTGCCCAGTCTCTTTCTTCAGTATTAGTTGTGCAGAGTGAACACATGTGTAGGAGAAACGGAAGCACAGACCAGAGTGAAGAGGGTACTGAGATCCATTAACAGTGAGCATACTGTGAGAAGCACACAGGGACATAGAAAATGGCAGTCTGGTGGAAATTTTTTGGCAGATATCTATGATACCATTTGTGGTATTCCAGATGCATTTTCATGTGTTTCTTTGGGAGACTAGCAAACAAGAATTATGCCCATCTAGAGCCATCAGAGAAGTGTTCAAAGAGAATTTCTGCTAAGAGATGAACCCAAACTAAGGAGGAACTGAGTTCTTTAAATGTCAGCAGAGGGATAAGAAGTCAATATGTGATGTGTTTAGGGTATTTCTGATCATACACAGAAAGAAAGTTATGATGAAAATGAAAAATAAGTTTACTTGCCTACATATGAAGTCAGCTCTTGTAATTACAGTGTCTGTGCTCTTGTCCACAAGCGTTTTCTGATTTGCCTCATATTTGTAGACTTGATAGTGGAGACCTTTTCACGTGATGGTGCCAAGTCTTGAACAATGCCATTTCATGTTTCTTCCAAATGAAATTACATGCTGGTATAAATGTCCTATAAATTGAAAGTATTAAATGAACCTACCTAGTAAGAATAAACTAAGTGTGTTCTGTGATGTTTGATTTCAGGTTGGCAAATTAATTAAAGAAGCTGCAGGGAAAAGCAATCTGAAGAGGGTCACCCTGGAGCTGGGGGGAAAGAGTCCTTGCATTGTGTTTGCAGATGCTGACTGTGAGTACAAGTCCCTGTTAGTGTCTTACTTGCTTCCTCCTGATGCCTGATGATGTCACCCATCATCTGGAGTCTCACAGGTGACTTTGCTTCAAAGTGTAAGAAATAAAGTCAAGTCTGTGGTGATTCTGCAAAGCCTTTGAATTGTTCCATACATTAGATAAATTACACTCAGATAAAATTTTGTCCTGGGTTGGAATAGTTTACTCCTTCAAAGTGTCAATCCAAGGTAGTATAAATGAGCTGCATCTAGAATCTTGATGTGATTTTGATAATTCTATATCTTCATATCTTTAATTGTGCATAGGACATGAGATACTTGAGCCGTTTGGAGCCAAAAGTTTTGCTGTCAGAAATTTCATAATTTCCTTCTGCCTTCACTCAGGACCATTTAGAAGAAGAATAAAAAATATTAGATTTAAATGATATTCTGTTTAAATAATTTCTTCCTTTTTCCAATTAATGTTAGTGAAGTTGAAATATATTGAGTTTATCATTTGTTTGTGAACCCATCCATAAAATTCCAAACCATTCAGATTTAACTAACAAATGAAATCCTCAGGTTCCTCATTTAGGAGTAATTTCACTAAAATTCATGGACTAGCATTCCTTCAATAGTTGCATACTTACAACGAGACTATAAACACAAATAGTTCATGAAGTTTGCCGTTGAAACTGTTGTGGTCCTCACTGGAGATCTTAGAACTTATTTTCTGGTTACTGCGCACCACATGGCATGGTCCCCAGTTTACCATTCTCTAAAACCTCCTCACAACCACTGAAGCAGTAACTATTGGCTCACGTGTTGCTTCCGAGGTCCTGAGGAACTAGTGATAGGAGATTGTGACCCATCTCTCATGGGCACTGGGAATTCAACTCCAGTACACTAACAGAGCTCCAAGTGTGTTTAATCACTCAGCCATCCCTTCAGGGTGAGTGCATGTGCACACATGCATGTGTATGTGCTTTAGAAAACATTTCTGCTCTAATATAAACGTTTCCTTTGCAGTGAACATGGCCGTTGAGTTTGCACACCATGGTGTGTTCTACCATCAAGGCCAATGTTGTGTCGCAGCATCTAGAATTTTTGTTGAGGAGTCAGTTTATGATGAGTTTGTGAAAAGGAGTGTTGAGCGAGCTAAGAAATATGTTCTTGGAAATCCTCTGACCGCGGGAATCAATCAAGGTCCTCAGGTAAGTATACAATAAAAAAAGACAAGCATTTCCAATACAAGTGTAAAGAACTACTAGAATTCATTTTGATAGCATTGACTTTACCTCTTAGCTATGTGCTTTGCTAGTTAAAATTAATGAATTTTAACTTCATTAGGTTAAAAAGGCTAATTCCCAATAGTAAAAAAATCATTTTAATTTTGTATTGCCAAAAAACTTTTACGTATCTAGAAACAGTTTAGGAATAATGCTGGGAATTAAACATGTACAGATGTAAAGACCTGAGAAGATATCCCAGTGGAGAAAGCACTTGCCATACAAGCATTAGTTCAGAGTTTGACTCCAGCAACCAGATAAAAACGGAATGTATGGGGTAGTTGACATTTAGCCCCAAAGTTCAGGAAATAAGGCAGGAATTTTCCAAGGCAAAGTGACTAACTAGAAAAGTCAAACTCATAAGTTCTGTGTTAAGGGAGACAGCTTATACTATTATGCTTGCCAATGAGTGCACACCACATACACATAACACACAAGAAGAGGAAAATTTGCCAATACCATCAGCTTCTTGCCTTCTTCAATCTGTATGCTTTTTAATTCCTATTACAGTTCACTCCAATTTTAGAATACTTTAGTTAGACATATCCACATAACACCGCAACTTGGCTTTATTGCCCAGTATGTAGTCATATCAGTGTTTTGGCTTTTAAAGCAACCCTTGGGATTCCACAACAGAACACCAATGATGAGACGATCTTTGAGGAATGTTCTTTGGAATATTGCACACTGAAGATTTTGGGAAAGCAGGTTGACAAATACCATGCCAAATTTTCTCAATTAAGGGCTAATAGCAGCTAGCATTTACTCTAACAAAGTGTAGAAACTGAGTTAAGTGTAGATAGAAAGCACATCTGACAAGTTTTTCTGATCATTTTAATACTGAGAAGGTTAGCAGAGTCCAACAAAGTAAAGATTGCCAGTTGTCCATTCAAGACAGAGAAATAAATCAATACCAAACATGACCCCCTCTTTTTAGCCTCCTTGTCTCTAATTTTCCATTCATTTGAACCCAGTCTCACCTTAGACAGACTGTTAGCTCCAATCTCTTGAATCCAAGATTCATCATTCACCTCCCCGTACTGTGAAATCTTGAGTAATAGGCAACTCACATATCTCAGCAAGTACGTTAAGTGTTCAGTGCTTCTGATTTTGTCAAACAGAAATCTGATCTCTTTTTAATTCTTTATAATGCAAAATATTATTTAAAACAAGATACCTCTGTGATAATGGCCATATAATTTAGAAGTGGTCCATTTAATGAAGTAGGAGGATGATAACCATTTCTTGTTAGAAACTGGAATGCAGCCTACTGCACTGAATGGGGCAAGACCCAAACTTGTTGTTTGAAAGGGCATCCTGAACAGTAGACATGACACAAGAATAGCCATATTTCCTGTGTATGCGGGATTCCACTGTGTATGATGTGAATACCATTGGTTAATAAAGAAATTGCCTTGGCCTGTTGATAGGGCAAAACTTAAGCAGTGAAACCCAAACTAAATGATGGGAGGAAGGGCAGAGTCAAAAAGAAGCCATGGAGCCCTGCCAGAGACACACACTGAAACCTTGCCAGTAGGCCACGAGCCTCGTGGTAATGCATAAAATAATGAAGATGGGTTCATTCTAGATATAAGAGCTAGCTAGCAATACGTTTAAGTAATTGGCCAAGCAGTGTTTTAAATAATATAGTTTCTGTGTGATTCTTTTGGGGTTAAGCGTACAGGAACCAACAAGTAGCCTCTCTCCTCACTAAAATTCCCTCTCTGAAGTACAAAGGTCTCTTATAGTCAAAAATACCTGCTTCTCATGTGACATATTCACTGGACCCAGATCAAAGTTCTCCTTTACCCATAACTCCTTTATCTCTGTAAGGACAAAGTTTTCAGGCGTATCTGTTAAATGATTAACACATTTCTTCCAAGGCGTATACAGGACAGATATGTGAAAGGTCCATGTATTTCCACCTTGCCAGTTGCTGTGCTTAGTAAATGTCCTAAATTTACAAACCCTTACACTTTTCTTCCCAAAATATCCACAGGAAAAAACACACCTGAGAATAGGTAGAATGAGCTGAACCTCTGCTGAACTGACTTGAGGGTATCCTGGATGTTAGAGTTGGAGAATGTAGCGATTCTCTACCTGTGGGTC